TGCATTGGGCTCTAGGGTGCAGAGTCTTGATGAGAGAATTCTTCTATGATGGATGGTGGTGGGAATCCGGTTTCAGATAAGCATCCGTATGGGTAGCTTTCCTGTATACAGAGTGGCTCATTGAACCATCAGGTCTCTTTTATTAGGACATCCAAAAAAGTTAGCTTGCCATCCTTTTCGACTTCCATGGTAAATCTGATGGCTGGGTGTATGGAATTGATGTGGTCGAAGAATTGGTCTAGAGCAGGCCGGCCATGTGGCCAGATGACAAAAGTGTCATCCACGTACCTCTTCCAAAAGGTTGGGCGCAGAGTGGCAGTCTGGATGGCGTCAGTCTCAAATTTCTCCATGAAAATGTTGGCTATAACCGGAGATAGGGGGGAGCCCATTGGGGTGCCCTCAGTTTGTTTGTAGAAAGTTCCATTCCAAGTGAAGAATGTATTGGTTAAGCAGTGTCTCACCAGGGGAGTACCTCAGTATGTAGTCCTTGATGAACCAATTCTTCAATGATTGCGATGGTGCAGGTACAGGAACTTTGGTGAATAAGGAAACTACATCAAAACTGACAAGCAGGTCGTCTGGGGACAGGGAAATACCCTTGATTATCGATACCAGGAGAGTAGAATTTTGTACCGCAGAGGTGGTTTTTCCAGTGAAAGGCCGCAGGATTTCAGACAGAAAACGAGCCAGTTTGTAGTTGGGGGAGTTGATAGTAGAGACGATGGGACGAAGGGGTGTATCTACTTTATGTATTTTTGGTAAGCCATATAATCTTGGTGGCCTGGCAGGAGAAGGTTTCAACGAAAACTGTTTAGTTTGATCAATTAATGCGGTTGAATCAGAAATTATTTTGTTGGTTTGTGTGACGAGGCTGTTGGTGGGATCCATTTTTATTTTTGTAAAGCTGCCATCGTCGAGTAATTCTTTAATTTTGTTGTTATATTCTATTTAATCCATGATGACAGTAGCATTGCCCTTGTCGGCTGAGAGGATTACAATGTCATCCCTCAACAAACTCCGGGATAAGAAGGCTCAGCTGATCGAGTCTCTCACCTTTCTGAAGAGATGCCGCGACTCTGGGGTAATCCCAATCGCATTTACACTGACCTCTGCTGCTGTAACTTCTTCCTATGCGAAACGAATTCTTTCCAAAACTAGCTTAGCTCTTCTCTCAGAGAAAAGCAGACTTATACACACCGAACTAGATCAGTTAGACAAGACACTCTACAAATCACACTTATCATTGACGGCAACAATGTCCACATCGGATTGGGAACATGTAGACAATGACTGCCTCTTCAGCTGATACTATGTCGACCAAATGTAAGGACAACCTGATTTCCAAATTTAACCTCCTCTCCAATAAAAGACTGGACCCACACACCAAAAAGCTAGACGTTAACAAAGTCGTAATTAATCGCAGTAACAGTTCTATTTCCGATGGTCTGAAATCCGTTTTAGCTAAAGGTTTAAACTTTGCAGTCACACCTTAACACATACCAGTTAATGATATCATTGCCCAAGTAGACTTGGCTCTCAAGGGCCTGGGTCACATCGTTGCAGACGTAGCAAGATCTGAAATCGCTGCAACCCTCAAAAACGCTGAGATGCCAGCTAGCAACCTCAGCAAAGATGAGCGTTTTGAATTAAATAAATTTAAAAAGAGGGATGACATTGTAATCCTCTCAGCCGACAAGGGCAATGCTACTGTCATCATGGATAAAATAGAATATAACAATAAAATTAAATAATTACTCGATGATGGCAGCTATACAAAAATAAAAAGAGATCCCACCAACAGCCTCGTCACACAAACCAACAAAATAATTTCTGATTCAACCGCATTAATTGATCAAACTAAACAGTTTTCGTTGAAACCTTCTGCTGCCAGGCCACCAAGATTATACGGCTTACCAAAAATACATAAAGTAGAAACACCCCTTTGTCCCATCGCCTCTACTATCAACTCCCCCATCTACAAACTGGCTCGTTTTCTGTCTGAAATCCTGCGGCCTTTCACTGGAAAAACCACCTCTGCAGTACAAAATTCTACTCACCTGGCATCGAAAAACAAGGGTATTTCCCTGTACCCAGACGACCTGCTTGTCAGTTTTGATGTAGTTTCCTTATTCACCGAAGTTCCTGTACCTGACACCATCGCAATCATTGAAGACTTGGTTCATCAAGGACTAAACACTGAGGTACCCCCCCTGGTGAGACACTGCTTAACCAATACATACTTAACTTGGAATGGAACTTTCTACAAACAAACTGAGGGCATACTCTTTGGTTCTATTCGGTAAAGTCACGTAAAAGTATAAAACAACAAAAAATAAAAATAAAAATAAATTCACGTTTAGGCCACAACACAAGTGGCCTTCATCAGGTGAAGGGACCAGACTGTCTCAAGGACAGCGCTGGAGTGAACACAGCCAAGCTCAGACCGCGACCTTTAAGCCTGTGTGAGAGGAATTAAGGTGCCTTGACAAAGGAATTAGCATAAAAATTAGCATTTAATTGGCGGACTTAGCATGATGAACGGTGTAGAGGGGGTGAACATGTGCAGATCGGCAAGGGGTGGAGGGGGAGTTTACATATTGATGGTGTGAAAAGGGAATTTAAGCAGCTGCGAAAGTTTGGGATACCACTACTTGAAAAATATAACCAGTGAATATATAAATATAACCAGTGAATGGATACTCTGACCATATCATTCCAGCGCTGTCCTACCAGACAGTCTCGCCCCTTCACCTGATGAAGGCCGCTTGTGTTGTGGCCAAAACGTCGTGAGAATATTATTGTGTTATTTTATTTTATCAATTTATTATTTTATTCTCATTCTACGTGACTTTACCGAAAGAACCAAAGAAGTTGAAAAATATACTATACCATTGAAAATTAGTTTAATGTTTGGTTCGATTTAGAACAACTTTCCAATGGTTGCTTAATTTGAAACCATCTTCTCGGTTGAAATTGTGTCTGTGTTTGTAAATCTGAATTGCCTCGTGAACAAATCTATGATAAAAACCCGTGGGTTTGCAAAGAACCTTGGTATCGGAGAAAATTATATCGTGATCACCCACAGCGTTGTAAAAGTGATCAGCTACGGCAGAAGAATTCGTTCTGCCGTGTTTCAAATCTGATTTGTGCTCGCGAATTCGGTCAGAGACATGTCGTTTCGTCTCCCCGATATAGCAGTCACGACAGGTGCAGATCAATCTGTAAACTCCGGGGTACTGTAAGTCAGGAATGACATCCTTCACGGAAAGGATCAGGTCACAGATTTTGTGTACTGTATTGAACCGGACCAGGTTCTTGTGTTTGTTTAGAATTTTGGAGATCTTTTTAGTAACGCCTGCTATATATGGCAGTGTGATGGTTTTGATCGGAGTATCAAGTGGTTGTTTCTGTATGGAGGGAGAAACAGCTTGGCGGATGGTATGGTCAGAGTATCCATTCCTTTTGAGGGCCAGATGCACATGTTTTAATTCACTGGTCAGGTGGTGTTGGTCTGAAATGCAATGAGCCCTGTGGTCTAACGTTTTGATGAGATAATTATTTTGCGTCGGGTGGTGGCGGGAATCAGGTTTCAAGTAGGAATCTGTGTGGGTGGGTTTCCTGTAGACAGAATGTCGCAATGAGCCATGTACTTTTACGTGACTTGACTGAATAGAACCAAAGAGTATGGATCCTTGCAGTCACGAAAGCTTCAAATCTAAAACTGAGGGCACCCCAATGGGCTCCCTCCTATCTCCGGGTATAGCCAACATTTTCATGGAGAAATTTGAGACTGACGCCATCCAGACTGCCACTCTGCGCCGAACCTTTTGGAAGAGGTACGTAGATGACACTTTTGTCATCTGGCCACATGGCCGGCCTGCTCTAGAACAATTCTTCGACCACATCAATTCCATACACCCAGCCATGAGATTTACCATGGAAGTCGAAAAAGATGGCAAGCTACCTTTTTTGGATGTCCTAATAAAAAAAAGATCTGATGGTTCAATGAGCCACTCTGTCTACAGGAAAGCTACCCATACAGATGCTTATCGGAAACCGGATTCCCACCACCATCCATCACAGAAAAATTATCTCATCAAGACTCTGCACCATAGAGCCCAATGCATATCCGACCAGGAACACATAGGCAGTGAACTCAAGCACGTACACCAAGCTCTTAAGGTTAATGGTTACTCCGACTATACAATCCGCAAAGCTATCACTCAAACCATGAAGAAGGACCCTCTTGGGGAGCCTTTCAAAACCATCACTTTACCCTACATAGCGGGGATCACAAAAAAGATCTCCAAAATCTTGAATAAACACAAGATCCAGGTCCATTTCAACACATTACATAAAATCCGTGATCTGGTTCCATCTGTAAAAGATGTGATTCCAGACGTACAGTACCCTGGTGTCTACAAACTAAGTTGCCTCTGTGGTAGTAGTTACATTGGAGAAACCAAACGACATATCTCGGACCGCATTCGTGAACACAAAGCAGACCTTAAACACGGTAGGACCAACACCTCGGCCGTGGCAGTTCACTGTTATAATTCAGTAAGCTCACATGACATTGACTTCTCCAAGACAGAGGTTCTTTGCAAGCCATCTGGCTACCATGTGAGATTCGTTCATGAGGCTATCCACATATACAAACACAGAGACAATTCTGGCTTAGCAATCATTGTAAGGATTTGATAAACCATTTCGGGTCTTAATTAATTGCTCACACTTATGGTGGCTTTCAGACAGCATACATTAATTTTTCGTCTCCCCCCTCCTCTTTTCCGAACATAGATGGACTCGTCCATCTAAACAAACTGTCAAATCGCTATCCGTGGTGCTAACGTAAAAAAATAATTAAATACAAACCGCCACTTCGTTCAAATGTTCTTGCCGTTGGTTTTCACACCTGATGATGACTGTGTTGCAGTCGAAACGTCGTGAGAATTTTATTTTTTATATATATTTTATTATTTTGTTGTTTCCTTTCAACGTGACTTTAATAATACATTTATACTTGCGTGATCTAACTCAAAACCCCTATATTAAGAACATAGTCTGTGAATGCACAAAACAAAAATTTATAGTCAATGTATTGATTTTGTTTAATTACAAAAGTCCATACAAAAAACACAAACAATGGCCTAAAACTAACCATCGACCGATTTGATGCACGTGCTCAGTGATAACTTTCCTGCTCCCGAGCAGAAGATTCCGCCCAATAATTGGACAGTAGCAGAGCCACTCCAATCAAACTCTGCCCCTAGTTTATAAAGATATGCAAACTACTGTACTGTAGGGGCGATCACGTGGATTTCAGATCAACCGGCGCACACATTTGTTCGGTTTAAGCACGATGTGGCTTGTAATAAACATTTCCAAGGATAACGAGGTGTAACAGTTTTAGGTTATTAATGTGAGCTTAAGGGGATATCCATGAGTTATTAATTCACGTCAATCTCAGGTGCGCGGTTAATCCGCAGATTGGATAAACCCCACATGCGGATAATCAAGAGTCGACTGTAAAACGAAGGATAACGTAAACTCGTGCCAAGCTTCAAGACAGCTATCGTCGTTTCAACAAACAGTCGTAGCCATCGACATTCCTCCATCACTCGTCCACTCTCCTCCACATCACTCTCCTTCGCTCTCCGATCCTGCCCCACCTCACTCTCCACTCCCTCACTGCTACGCACACTGCTCTTTGTTCCTGCCTTACTCAAAACTTTCCCAAGCTTCTGCGTTATTCCTTTATGCTGTGTTTTACAGAACCCTCGGCTCCCTTCACCGTGTCCCCACTCTCCCCGTCAGTGCTTTCTATTGCTCCTCCACCCTGCACCTCGTTCTTTACGACTCCGCGCTTACTCACATCGCTCTTCTCTCCTCCGCTCTCCTTCACTCTCCCATCCTCTCCAACCTCACTCTCCATTGCCTTACTGCTGTGCTCATCTCTCTTTATTCCTGTTTTACTCAATAATTTCCCAACAAGGTTCTTCTTTATATCTTTAATTTTCACGTTGTCTGTAAAAGTCTCCACATCTGCCTTTGTCAAACCCTCGCTCTTCCCTGCAGCATTTACCGCTGCTCCTCCATCCTGTGCCTCGGGGTGAGGGTTCACTCTCGCGCTCTCCCACCCCTCGCTCTTCCCTGCCCCGCTATCCCCCACCTCATTCTTCTCTCCTCCACCCTCTCCCACATCACTCGCTACTCCAGTCTTACTTTGACGGCCATTTTCTGTAGCCCTCTCCTCATCATTACTCTTCCTCACCTCACCAGTCGCTCCTTCACCCTCCTCAAACCGTAGACTCAGGCGGAGTATGGTTACCGTCCCCTTGTGCACGCACAGGGCGGGGTAGAGAGGGCCTGGGAAGGCGGTGGCATTGAATGAGTGCAGCCGCCTCCTGGTGTCGGCGCAGTAGAACGAGAGGAGCCCCTCTTCCCAACGCAGGTGGACGCCGATCTTCCTGGGAGGAGGGCGCACGGCCGCCAGTGCGGTGTGGAGGCCGCGGTGGCTCGCCACGTAGCCGCCCTCGCGTCTCCACAGGCACCAGGAGTCCGCGCCCGTGCCCAGGAGCCGCGCCTCCTCGCTCCCTCCGCGCGGCAGAGTGGCGCACGCGACGCCCACTCTGAACTGCTCCGCGCCGCCCACGTCCACCTCCCAGTAGTGCGCGCCGCTGGAGAAGCCCTCGCGGCACAGGGCCTGAGCGCAGTTCTCAAATCGCTCGGGGTGGTGGGGGTAAGAGTGGTGCTCGGAGGACAGAGTCACCGTCCTGAGGTCGACGGAGAGGCGGAGGTCGGAGTTCACGGAATTGGGGTTCACGGTGGGAGAGCACCTTCCTGAAAACAAAGAAGAACAACAATTTGTTTGCATGCGTGTTGAACTTCCTTCGCACCGTACGCAGCCAACAGTGCTTATCGGAGGTGAACGTGTCAAATTTAAAACAATGAGATTATTATTTTACCAGATATCCGTTGCTGATTGTGGCTAAATACCTAAACTATCTGTAATTTAGCAGCATTTTGGTCATAAACGCCACCGTTTACAGCAACAGCATTGATATTGAAGCTTCGTCAGAGCCACAGATGATTGAGACTTCATGCCCACCTTGACGTCTCACTCTCCTGACAACCTTCCTAATGTACATCTTGTACACTGACATTGACAAATTATGTTACAACAATAACACCTGTAATGACTATAAACTGAAGCGTGCAAGAATGAGGTGTGCTTTTATTTAAGTGGTTCGTCTCTTACCTGATGAGTGTAACATGGCGAGGAAGTCTCTTTCATTACTTCCAGTGGCTTCCATCACTACCTCGAGCTCCCCGTCCTTCTTTACACTTTTAACTTCCTTGCGGATGAACTTTTCACACATGCTGGGGTATTTTTCCATGTAGGCCTTCCAGTAGACGTGCTCCTTGATGTGGCCCTGCATCAACATCTCATGCAGGACAAGATTGGGTCTCCTAGACAGCAGCAGTGCCCTCTGATAGCCCTCTGACTTAGACCCAGACGTGGATTCTGGACTCTTCTCAGGAGCGGAGGAGACGCCACCACTGAGGGGTTGGGCTGCGGAGTGAGAGAACAAAACGCGTGGATGATAATTGGTGCCTTAGACTCTGCCTGAGCGTGTTTGTGGGCATTCACGATCCATGACAGTGGATGATGAGGAAGGGATGAATCTCTGATACAAAACCTTAAACTTTCAAATTATTCTCCTTTTGGTGAATGATACTTTGCACCTTTAACGTGTTCTAGTCTGACACTGGTGAGACTAGGCCATGAAGAAGGCTTTGTCTGGTGGAGGTCAATCAGTTTCAAAGTTAATGCAAAAACTATCAAAGCATATTTGTCTGCATGTTCACCACAGGTACGTGGTTAATGCAGACTGGATTCCTTAAAAGGTTAATATTTGGTGTTTGAACATATTAACATCTTGATTTGAAGCTTTCGTACCTGCAGGAATCCATTCTCTTGGTTCTTTCGGTAAAGTCACGTAGATTGCTTGTGTTGTGATCGAAACGTCGTGATCTATTATTTTTTCTACCTACGTGTCTTTACCGAAAGATCCAAGAGTACATCTTTCCATCTGTTTTGTTGATAGAAAGGGGTAAAAGATATTCTGTTTCATGTTTCGTATCGTTTATGTATTTTGAGACTAACCCTACAGTTCTGGAAATGTCAGAATCATAATCAGGCTATGGATTAAATCTGTGGTACTTATTTCACTGGGGAATGTTTTAATGGGTGTTTTTAATAGCTTCTGACCGACAGTCATCTGTCACTGGGAAATCACCAGAATTATCCAATAATTATTCAGAAAGCTAACCATGAGGGTATATTTAGGTGTAGTGGTGTCTATTTCGAAGTATTTGCTGATGTTTTAATGTTCACGTAAATGTTTTATACCATTGATTTATCTCTGTAATGGACTTCCCCTTGGACTGAGAATATCAGAAGAGCGTAAATATTGGGCAGCCTGGAAACTTTCTAAATATTGTTTGACCAAATAACCAAAAGTTTGCTTCCGGATAATGGCTTTTAAGTATACACACACACATATATACACATATATACACACATATATACACACATATATACATACACATATATACACACATATATACAAACATATATACACATATATACACACATATATGTATATACACATATATACACACATATATACACACATATATACACATTCATACACACATATATACATACACATATATATACACACACATATATACACACATATATACACATATATACACACAGTGCAATACAAACTTTTGTATTTGCACCTTTTCGATGACCATAAAATTACGGATAAAAACTTGAACATGATTGAGACTGAGCTTAGTCCGACCAAAGTTTACATCTTGTGGTTATGAAATCTGCAGAATCCCACGATGACATCAAGCTCTGAATCGCTCTATTTATGGTGATGTTCAAGAGAACTGTGATGCTGCACCTGACAGAGTGGGAAAGCCCAATACCAGTTACTGTTGTGTACATAGCAAGATAAACAAGCAGACAATATGCCTCCTGCACTTGTATCGAGGAGTGCATCACTTCTGGGAACGCCCGAATTAATCATCAGATAGAGTCATCGTCTATAAATATTTGGCTGTTCACCAGCACTGGTTCTAGCAAGCCAGACTGCTGATGAGACACTGAATGTCCAAACCAATCCAGAGTTTGTGTGGAATCAATGCTGCTCAAATTATGCAATACCGGAAGGCCTTGTCGCTCATGGGATGATTACAAAGCACTTTATTAGTTACGTAGAGGGACAGACATTTGAAGGATGCATGCTGTGTGCTCGATAATGTCACCACTGATATTCTCCATAATGAAGCGAAATGGCTGTGTTGTGTTATTGTATACACGTGGACGTTCCCGGATTACAAATATGACCGTACCTATGGTGATCGATCCGCTGTGCAGACACACAGCAGGATAAAAAGGAAGTTTCTTGAACCAAGGGCGTCCCCACGTCAGTGTAAAAGTATGCAGAGGCGTCATGGTCTCGGCACAAACAAACGTGAGCTTCAAATTGTTACAGTCCAGGTGAAGCCCGATTCTCTGGGGAGGCACTGGCGGGTTCAGCACGGTGACTTCTCCATTGTGAGCAGCCACGAGCTCAGCGTCGCGTCTCCACACGCACCAGGACGCAGCGCTGTTTCCCAGATTACCTACCCCACCGCTTCTGGACACATTCTCACTAACAACACCGACCATGCATTCTTCTGCACAACCCACGTGCAGCTCCCAGTAGTGGCGATCGGAGAGGAATCTCTCAGAGCACAGCACCTGGGGGTGTCTCACAAACCTATCCCCGTGATCTGGGTATGGATGAGGATGAGTTGCTCTCGTCACCGTCTTGAGGTCCGTGGACAGGAGGACCATCTTGTTTGCTGTGTTAGGGTCGAATGTTGGTGAGCAGATGTCTGTAACAATGCAAATAATATCAGCGCTGTTACTGAGTGGTTCCCAAACTATGGGTCGTGAAGTATTGCTGGGTCGCAAGAGATACTGGGGTGGATCACAGTACAAGGCCCAGCTAAACATAAACGTTCGTATTTTTACATTATTTATAATATAACGTTACAGTAATACAGGTAATGCTGCAATGTTTGAGTTTATGTACTTACCTGCCTGTCTCTGCATGTCTAGAAATGTTCTCTTCCTGCTAATGAAGTCTTCATAAATGTCCCTGAACTTACTGCAGGCCTCCTCTCCTCTGTCTACCACGAGGGCGATGACGTAGTGTGCCCGTCGCGACATATCAGGGAGGCCGCTTGCTCTCCAGTACTCGGCCTCGTCGATGAGCTCCCGCAGGAAGAGGTCGAGCAAGAGGTGGGGCCCGACCCCACCGCCTCCACTCCCCAGCAGCTCTGAGCGGCGGTCACTCAGCCACGTCCACACGGCACCTCCACTCGAGGCCATCTTCTCTTGGATCATCTCCACAGCGTCTCTCACAACGACAACCTCCACCTGCGACACGGCCACTGTTAGGACGTGGACTCTGCAATGGAACTTGCAAGCACAGGGCCATGAGTTCAACTCCCGCCTGTGATGGAGTCAGCCCGCTGCCTTCTGTCTTGGGCTGGTTACAGTAGAGATGTGCACAGAGATTCCGTGGTCTCACCCAACAGAATATTGCTTCTCTCATCTCTTACTGCTCTGCCCCATCCCGTCCTCTTCACTCCCAGTCTCCACCGTCCCTTTCTGTGCCTCCCTTGTCACCCTGTGCCCTTCTCGCTCCCCTTCACTGGAACCCAATGCATCACGCAGAGCAATGATCTTCACCAACACAACAACAACCTGCAGCTACTGCTACTCCCTGCCCCCATCCCCCAGCCACGACAAGTCTACCCCAACCCCTTTCACTACCAAAACCTTTCCTTGACCATTCCCACCTGTCACCATAATTACACCACCACCACTTTTAAGAACAAGCCCACTAATTTTAGTTTTAAAACCACTATCTTAGGTACAATTTGAAAGCGCCTTGAATTCAGGCGCTATATAGCGCTGTGTAAGATGAGATTTCAGCTGGGTTCGTTCAGCTTTATCTCCGGCCAAGTTGGTCAGTAGTTGTGGAAAATTACAGAGGGAGTTAAACTAAACACTCAATATGTCCCGTGGAACGTGCAGAGATTTTGAGTTCAGATCCCAACTGTGGCCATCTCAAGCACTGCTTCCTTGGTGGTGTCTGCGACCGTTGTTGCTTGTGTTGCTGTTGCTGCTGTGTTGCTGTTATGTTGCTGTTAAATTGCTGTCGCTGGTGTATTGCTGCCTTGCCCCACGCTTGCACGACGACCAACGATTGACTTTGCTCCCCCCCCCCAAAAAAAATCAGTCATCGGTGAAATAAATGTGGAGAATGACGTAAAAAATCGGCGGGAATTGATGTGCAGTAAACCCTCAATTTAACGGACCCCCCCCCTCCCATCCCATTCAACGGATCTCTCGGATGTAATGGACGACTTCTGCTGAATTGGTGTTTTGTCCAAAGATCAGACGACGACCAACGATGGACTTTGCCCCCCCCCCACTCCCAAACAGACTAAGTCCGGTAATGGGGAGGGATATCGGTCCGGTCAAATGCTCGTTTCCCCATAATGGGTGCACATTATATTACACTACACGTGGTTTTTTGTTGTTTGTTTAAAATCAGTCATAGGTGAAATATAAGTGGAGAATGATGTAACAATACATTTATGGTACTTTGGTCTTGAAATATATTTTACAATACAGTATCGTATATATAACATCACGACAAGGTGACCATTGATCGCTTCACGTTTGGACGGTTTCAACAGAATGGGTTGGTATGATGTTAGACTACAAACGCTTTACCATGTGTAATGAAATCCACGAGGGAGACGGGTAAATATTAACCCTCTCTGTCTCTTTCCAGCGTCCGCTTACACATCCATCGCTATGCCCTCTCTGCCCGCATCTGCCGCTCTTCCCCCCCCGCCTCTCTCTTCTTGCTCTTTTCTCCTCCAATCATGTCGCCCGTAGGGCCTTTCCTAGAGCGCGTCATGGGGTCAGCAGCTCGTCCTCCAATGGGAGAGCTGCGAGGCTCTGCTGTCAGTGACGTGCTCACGCCCCCCAACACATCTGCCCTGAGGAGCCTCCACATGTAACCCTCCACTCAAATCTGTATTCAAAGTTATTATTGCACTAGTATTATCATTACTATTATTGTGTTCATTTTTATCATGAAAAGCCTTACAATATTTTATAATGATAATTTACTGAACTGTAAGTCAGTAGTTTGCGTGTGGTCGGGTGTGATTTAATGCTACGTGATTTGGCCAATAACAATCGGATTCTGGATACCCCCTCCCTCCCTCCCCATATTATTCCGTTAAACCGAGTGAATTGTTTTACCATTTCTCTATTTTGCGCTCCTATTGTTTGTTTGTGTTTGTTTGAAAAAAATAAGAAATAGGTTTTACCTCTTTCTGGCAATAAAACAAGAGTCGTGTGAAGATGTTCAAACATCAAATCTAAACCTTTATGCAAGGAATCAAGTCTACATTAACCACACACACAGTACACGTGGTGAACAGGCAAGCAAAACATGCTCTGATAATATGATGCATCGTCTTTGAAACTGTTTGGCCTACAAAAGAGACGGCCTTCTTCATGGCTTTGTCTCACCAGTGTCAAACCAGAGAACACTAAAAGGTGAACAACAAACTTTGATCCTGGCAAAAAGGTCCCATTTTGTTCATCACTCGATGACCCCGTGGCTCCTACCGGACATCTGTACAAAAGAGCTCCATAGCTCATCAGATCCCTTCTCCTCCAGTCTCAATACAGATTCAGATTTTGATCAACAATAATCCATAAATTATATAAATATAATATTGGTTCTTTCGGTAAAGTCACGAACAGGGGAAACAATAAAATAATAAAAATATAAAACAATAAATTCTCACGACGTTTCGACTGCAACACAATCAGGTGTGAAAACCACTGGCAAAAACATTTGAAAAAGTGGCGGTTATTTTTTAACGTTAGCACCACGGAGAGCGATTTGACAGTTTGTTCAGATGGACGAGTCCATCTATGTTCATAAAAGAGGAGGGGGGAGACGAAAATAATGGGTGCGGTCTGAAAGCCACTGTAAGCGTGAAAAATAAATTAAGACCTGAAATGGTTTATCAAATCCTTCCAATGATTGCTAAGCCAGAATCCATATTCTCGGTTGAAATTGTCTCTGTGTTTGTATATGTGGATAGCCTCATGAACGAATCTTTCATGGTAGCCAAATGGCTTGCAAAGAATCTCTGTCATGGAGAAGTCAATGTCATGTGAGCCTACTGAATTATAACAGTGATCTGCCACGGCCGAGGTGTTGGTCCTACTGTGTTTTAGGTCTGCTTTGTGTTCACGAATGCGGTCCAAGACATGTCGTTTGGTTTCTCCAATGTAACTACGACCACAGAGGCAACTTAGTTTGTAGACGCCAGGGTAATGTATGTCCGGAATCACATCTTTTACAGACCACGGATTTTATGTAATGTGTTGAATCGTACCTGGATCTTGTGTTTATTCAAGATTTTGGAGCTCTTTTTTGTGATCCCCGCAATGTAGGGTAAAGTGATGGTTTTTAAAGGCTCCTCAAGAGGGTCTTTCTTCATGGTTGGAGTGATAGCTTTGCGGATTGTGTAGTCGGAGTAACCATTAGCCTTAAGAGCTTGGTGTACGTGCTTGAGTTCACTGGCTATGTGTTCCTGGTCGGATATGCATTGGGCTCTGTGGTGCAGAGTCTTGATGAGGGAATTCTTCTGCGATAGATGGTGGTGGGAATCTGGTTTCAGGTAAGCATCCGTATGGGTAGCTTTCCTGTAGACAGAGTGGCTCATTGAACCATCAGGTCTCTTTTTTATTAGGACACCCAAAAAAGGTAGCTTGCCATCTTTTTCGACTTCCATGGTAAATCTGATGGCTGGGTGTATGGAATTGATGTGGTCGAAGAATTGGTCTTGAGCAGGCCGGCCATGTGGCCAGATGACAAAAGTGTCAACCACGTACCTCTTCCATAAGGTTGCGCGTAGAGTGGCAGTCTGCATGGCGTCAGTCTCAAATTTCTCCATGAAAATGTTGGCTACAACCGGAGATAGGGGGGAGCCCATTGGGGTGCCCTCAGTTTGTTTGTAGAAAGTTCCATTCCAAGTGAAGTATGTATTGGTTAAGCAGTGTCTCACCAGGGGGGGTACCTCAGTGTTTAGTCCTTGATGAACCAAGTCTTCAATGATTGCGATGTTGTCAGGTACAGGAACTTTGGTGAATAAGGAAACTACATCAAAACTGACAAGCATGTCGTCTGGGGACAGGGAAATACAGTGAGGGAAAAAAGTATTTGATCCCCTGCTGATTTTGTACGTTTGCCCACTGACAATAAAATGATCAGTCTATAATTTTAATGGTAGGTTTATTTGAACAGTGGGAGACAGAATAACAACAACAAATCCCAGAAAAACGCATGTCAAAAATGTTATAAATTGATTTGCATTTTAAGGAGGGAAATAAGTATTTGACCCCTCTGCAAAACATGACTTAGTACTTGTTGGCAAAACCCTTGTTGGCAATCACAGAGGTCAGACGTTTCTTGTAGTTGGCCACCAGGTTTGCACACATCTCAGGGGGGATTTTGTCCCACTCCTCTTTGCTGATCTTCACTAAGTCATTAAGGTTTTGAGGTTGACGTTTGGCAACTCGAACCTTCAGCTCCCTCCACAGATTTTCTATGGGATTAAGGTCTGGAGAATGGCTAGGCCACTCCAGGACCTTAATGTGCTTCTTCTTGAACCACTCCTTTGTTTGCTTGGCCGTGTGTTTTGGGTCATTGTCATGCTGGAATACCCATCCACGACCCATTTTCAATGCCCTGGCTGAGGGAAGGAGGTTCTCACCCAAAATTTGACGGTACATGGCCCCGTCCATCATCCCTTTGATTCGGTGAAGTTGTCCTGTCCCCTTAGCAGAAAAACACCCCCAAAGCATAATGTTTCCACCTCCATGTTTGACGGTGGGGATGGTGTTCTTGGGGTCATAGGCAGCATTCCTCCTCCTCCAAACACGGCGAGTTGAGTTGATGCCAAAGAGCTACATTTTGGTCTCATCTGACCACAACACTTTCACCCAGTTGTCCTTTGAATCATTCAGATATTCATTGGCAAACTTCAGACGGGCATGTATATGTGCTTTCTTGAGCAGGGGGACCTTGCAGGTGCTGCAGGATTTCAGTCCTTCACGGCGTAGTGTGTTACCAATTGTTTTCTTGGTGACTATGGTCCCAGCTGCCTTGAGATCATTGACAAGATCCTCCCGTGTAGTTCTGCCCTGATTCCTCACCGTTCTCATGACCATTGCAACTCCACGAGGTGAGATCTTGCATGAAGCCCCAGGCCGAGGGAGATTGACAGTTCTTTTGTGTTTCTTCCATTTGCGAATAATCGCACCAACTGTTGTCACCTTCTCACCAAGCTGCTTGGCAATGGTCTTGTAGCCCATTGCAGCCTTGTGTAGGTCTACAATCTTGTCCCTGACATCCTTGGAGAGCTCTTTGGTCTTAGCCATGGTGGAGAGTTTAGAATCTGATTGATTGATTGCTTCTGTGGACAGGTGACTTTTATACAGGTAACAAGCTGAGATTAGGAGCACTCCCTTTAAGAGTGTGCTCCTAATCTCAGCTCGGTACCTCTATAAAAGACACCTGGGAGCCAGAAATCTTTCTGATTGAGAGAGGGTCAAATACTTATATCCCTCATTAAAAATGCAAACCAATTTATAACATTTTTGACATGCGTTTTTCTGGATTTTTTTGTTGTTATTCTGTCTCTCACTGCTCAAATAAACCTACCATTAAAATTATAGACTGATCAGTTATTTGTCAGTGGGCAAACGTACAAAATCAGCAGGAGATCAAATACTTTTTTTCCCTCACTGTACCCTTGATTGTCGATACCAGGTGAGTAGAATTTTGTACCGCAGAGGTGGTTTTTCCAGTGAAAGGCCGCAGAATATCACACAGAAAACGAGCCAGTTTGTACGTGGGGAAGTTGATATTAGAGACGATGGGGCAAGGTGTGTATCTACTTTATGTATTTTTGCTAAGCCGTATAATCTTGGTGGCCTGGCAGCAGAAGGTTTCAACGAAAACTGTTTGGTTTGATCAATTAATGCGGTTGAATCAGAAATTATTTTGTTAGTTTGTATGACGAGGCTGTTGGTGGGATCTCTTTTTATTTTTGTATAGCTGCCATCGTTGAGCAATTCTTGAATTTTGTTGTTATATTCTATTTTATCCATGATGACAGTGGCATTGCCCTTGTCGGCTGAGAGGATGACAATGTCATCCCTCTTTTTAATTTATATAATTCAAAACGCTCATCTTTGCTACTTGGACAATGATACCATTAACTGGTATGTGTTTAGGTGTGACTGCAAAGTTTAGCCCTTTAGCTAAAACGGATTTCAGACCATCGGACATAGAACTGTTACTGTGATTAATTACGACTTTGTTAACGTCTAGCTTTTTGGTGTGTGGGTCCGGTCTTTTGTTGGAGAGGAGGTTAAATTTGGAAATCAGGTTGTCCTTACATTTGGTCGACATAGTGGCAGCTGAAGAGGCAGTCATATTTTCTACATGTTCCAAATACGATGAGAGATTCGTTCTTGAGGCTATTCACATATACAAACACAGAGACAATTTCAACCGAGATGTATTCTGGCTTAGCAATCATTGGAAGGATTTGATAAACCATTTCAGGTCTTAATTGATTGTTCACGTTTACAGTGGCTTTCAGACCGCATCTATTATTTTCGTCTCCCCCATCCTCTTTTCCGAACATAAATGGACTCATTAATCTGAACAAACTGTCAAATTGCTCTCCGTGGTGCTAACGTTAAAAAATAATTGCCAATTTTTTCAAATTTTCTTGCTGCGGTTTTCACACCTGATGATGATTGCTTGTGTTGCAGTCGAAACGTCGTGAGAATTTTATTGTTTTATACTTTTTATTATTTTGTTTCCCTTCTACGTGACTCTACCGAAAGAACCAAGAATATGAATCCCTGCAGTCACGAAAGCTTTCAATCAAATTTATATAAATGATTACAAATGTTGTTATTTGTAATGTATTGGCGGGATTCCCTGCTATTCTCACGAGCATCGTTGCTCAGAGTGGCAATTGTGCGGCCTGTGGTGCTGTGGTGCTGTGGTCGGAGAGGTCACCTGTGGTTCCACTGGGGTTAGCTTGGGGTGATGGTCGCTATGCAGCAGTTGCATCTCAGCTTCGGTGTCCTTGGCTTGGGAGTAAAAACAGAATCAGAATATTGATTTACACTGCCGGAGGAGGAATCCAATGAGCTATTAAGCTTTTTATCATATATCACATAATGAAGTTTATTTGTTGAGTTGGATTGCATAAATATGAATGTCGTTAAACCTGCCAATGTCCGTCACAGCCAATTAGTAAGGTTTGTCATGTAAATAAAACATGCCGATTAGTTATTCTTGATTCGTTCGGTAAAGTCAAGTAGAACATTTTCTTGCTGTGGTTTTCACACCTGATGATGATTGCTTGTGTTGCAGTCGAAACGTCGTGATAATTTTATTTTTGATATTTTTTATTATTTTATTGTTTCCCTTCTACGTGACTTTACCAAAAGAACCAAGAATATGAATCCCTGCAGTCACGAAAATTTGTAATCAAAATTTATGCCGATTATATTCTTGGTTCTTTTGGTAAAGTCACGTTGAAGGGAAACAATAAAATAATAAAATATATATAAAACAATAAAATTCTCACGACGTGGCAGTTTCCAATGTTTTTGCCATTGGTTTTCACACCTGATCATGACTGCTTGTGTTGCAGTCGAAACGTCGTGAGAATTGTATTGTTTTATATATTATTATTTTATTGTTTCCCTTCAACGTGACTTTACCAAAAGAACCAAGAATATGAATCAATGCAGTCACGAAAGCTTTAAATAAAAAAATTATGCCGATTAGTTATTATTTAAGCACACTGCTTGTGTGTGTTTGGAAAGTAAACCCACAACATTTACAATTCGAGTACCGTGACGTTTTGCCGTTGGTTACAAGCAGCCTCATTCATCTACCAGTGATGTGTTTGGCCAGTTTTGTTGTTGTATGGCGTGGAGGGGCCTGGACATTGCTTTAAGCTGATTTGGATCGGCTGCCAGTCCTTCCACGATTGCCAAAGATGCCCTTCTTGGCATCCGGTGGTTCGACTTCGTCAGAAATATCACTGCTGGGGCGTCTGCGACCGGTGTCCTAGCGATCGAGAGCTCCGTTCGAGGGAGGAGTCTCCAGTGCCGTCATTCTGTGGACGCAGTCGCCCCGTGTTGATGTGCAAACTCACAGAGAAAATTGCGCCGATTTTAGTTGGCAGTTGACGTTTGCAAAGGGAAACTGCGGGACCCGACTCCCCCCGCCTCCCCGCCTCAAAGGAATGGAGCCGTCCTCCTCGTGGTCACCCCACCCCGTGAGAAGTGGCTCAAATAAATCACTGGAGACGCCGTGGTGTGTGTGGCAGCCAAGAGCAGCTCATGCGAATACTGCCGCAAGAGGTCTACATGTTTTGGCGCAAGGGCAGCCCCTAGACCAGCTACCAGCAAGTGGCAGGGCCCTGAGCAACCAGCACAATCGGCGCCGAACACCGCCCAAACCCCAATGGCAGATCTAGGCTGAGGGGTTTTTGGTAACCTGGGAAACATTTTGCCCCTATTTTCCATTCAATGTTTTTAAAGCTTTTTTTTAAACGGAGGCATTAATCAGTTTGTTCATCTGCCTATCCAACCAAAAACGGCTAAGCAATGTTTATACATTAATTATAATTCATATTACCTCTGTAAGCACACGGGAAGTGAAATAATGACAGCTTCGTTATTTTATTTGTATAATTTACTATAATTTGGCGCCCCACTAATATGGGGGTGCCCTAGGCGAGACCGCCTTGTCTGCCTGTACGGACGGGACTCACGTGGGCCTCGAGACCTTTTCCCTTGCAGTTTCTTCATCCAAAATATGAGGCCACCGAATCCAGCCAGAGTCAAGATCACGACGGGCACAACGGCCCAAATCCAACCCTTGGAGCCTACAGCACGAACACGCACACTGTTAGTGTAAAAGACAAAGATCCACCCCTCCCCCCCCCCCCCCCCCCCCCCCCCCCCCCCCCCCCCCCCCCCCCCCCCCCCCCGTTTCCTCTCGAACAGACTTGGGGCAAACGCTGTTAGCGAGCACCTCCTGAAGGCCGGCACGATCGCCAGCCCCGCTCCTGCCCAACCGCCTTTCTCCCCAGTGCTGATGTGTTTTATGACACACCACACCATGGAACTTAATTGAGGCTGAGTCCACCTGGGGGGGGGGGGGGGGGCCCCGGACCGGTTCACATAATCGTCAATGATGTTGGCCGTGAGCGGGAATCGAACCCGGATCGTGGGGTTCATAGCGCAGCATGCTAACCGCTACACTATCGCTCCTCAATTAAACACACACAAAGACACCGTTCTATATTTAACTCATCTTACCTTCAATGTCCTCGCAGGGCTGGGACAGACTCGGTCTGTGTAGTCCTTTGACGCACGTGCACACCGTGTCGCTAATCGTGCTGCACTGGCGTTCAAAGAGTTCGCCTGCAAGAACATCGCGTAACAAGATCACACGCGATGATACACCGACTACCACTGAGGGACTGTGCGTTGTTGTCTTGTTGACCTGGGTACAGGCCAGTTCTCAAGGGTTGGCAAGGAAAACCATATTACATTGAGTATTTCACTTAATGTTATGACTATTTGATTTATTTTATTCTACTTGACTTTACCAAAAGAACCAAAGAGTAATTCCTGCAGTCAGGAAAGCGTCAAATCAAGTTTTAATGTTCTGACTTAAGGTATCTGAGGAGAACCACCAAAGCAGGGACTTGTTGTTGTTGTTTTGGTGTGGGTTTGGACTGTTCTTGTCTTCGTGTTGTCTGGGACTGCTGTTGTAGTTTTACTTCCTTGCACAAAGCTTGCATTTTAGTGTTAACAAATCCGCAGGAATTCGTGTAGTGAGGATTTCTTTTTACTTATTCTTTATTGCTAGTGGCTTGCATTTTCTTTATTTAGAACTCCTATCGTTGTGTTTGTTTGGTGTTACTCACTAACCCCCCCCCCCCCAGCCCCTACTGGACATCTGTGATAAAGAGCTTCACAGCTCATCGGATTCCTCCTGGATAAATAAAGATTATTATTCTTAGTGTGGGTCCCGTGGTGTCAAGATGTTAACTACCTCGCCTGGTAAATAGGAGGTTGTGGGTTTGATCCTGACACATGCATATTTGGAGTTTGCGTGTCTCTTTTCCCCGTGGTAGCATCGATGTTTTTTTCTCCAGGTCCTCTAGTTTGTTCCTCTACATTTAGCATCGATATGCATTTTAGAGTCAATTTCCACGATGATGATAAACCACTTCGTTGAGCTATCATTTGTGATGGCCAAGTCGCTTCTGAAAGAGAGCTACATAGCTCAGTGGGCCTAAAAAATAGTTGATAGAGCATACCAGAGTTTCCCAAACTCCAGTCCTTGTGATCCACCACCGCTACACTAAATCTGTCCCCGTTCACCAATTAACTCCCCATGTCAAATGCGGCAAGTCCTCACTGGAACGCACTGCTCATAGGAGGTAAATACGTTCCTAATGTGGTGACAATAATGGTCGGTCTTCTTGGTTCTCTCGGTAAAGTCACGTAGAATGGAAATAAAATAATGAAATAAAAAAATCTCAGACGTTTCGGCCACAACACAAGTGGCCTTCTTCAGGTGAAGAAACAGGTGTATCAAGAAAACGGAACTTGAATAAACGCTGTTAAGCAAGGGCTGTGTCTTTTGAAACTGTGTGGGCGGAGTTGAATTAGCATGTTACACGCCCCACCTCCGGAGCGGGGGAGGGAGGGGGCTAGGAACAAAAGAGTTATGTTAAACATTACAATGTTATACTATTAACTATTACACTACATGTTATAAACCATATCATTAACCGTGGTGTGAGATGTATTAAGAGGCAATGCCAGCGAAAGGGCTGCGGTCTGAAGGTAACAATGATCTGCCACGGCCGAGGTGTTGGTCCTACCGTGTTTTGTTATAATTCAGTAGGCTCACATGACATTGACTTTTCCAAGACAGAGGTTCTTTGTAAGCCATCTGGCTACCATGAGAGATTCGTTCATGAGGCTATCCACATATACAAGCACAGAGACAATTTCAACCGAGAAGATGGATTCTGGCTTAGCAATCATTGGAAAGATTTGATTAACTATTTCAGGTCTTAATTGATTGTTCACGCTTACAGTGGCTTTCAGACAGCATACATTAATTTTTCGTCTCCCCCCTCCTCTTTTCAGAACATAGATGGACTAGTCCTTCTAAACAAACTGTTAAATCTCTGCGCGTAGCGCTGACGTTTTTTTTTTATAAGTAAATAAATACACCGTTTAAAAATAAATACATTTATGCAAACCGACACACCTGATGACGACCGTTTGTGTTATGGTCGAAACGTCGTGAGAATTTGTATTGTTTTATATATATTTTATTATTTTATTGTTTCCCTTCAACGTGACTTTACCGAAAGAGCTAAGAATATGAATTACTGCAGTCACGAAAGCTTTAAATCAAAATTTAAGTAGTATAATAATTAATGGTAAAACATTTAAATGTTTAACATAACTCTTTTTGTTCCCAGCCCCCTCCCTCCCCCACTCCGGAGGTGGGGCGTGTAACATGCTAATTCAACTCCGCCCACACAGTTTCAAAAGACACAGTCCTTGCTCAACAGCGTTCATTCAAGTTCCGTCTTCTTGATAGACCTGTTTCTTCACCTGAAGAAGGCCACTTGTGTTGTGGCCGAAACGTCGTGAGAATTTTATTATTTATTTCATTATTTTATTTCCATTCTACGTGACTTTACCAAAAGAACCAAGGAAATGAATCCGTGCAGTCACGAAAGCTTCAAATCGAAAAATAAAGGTTGGCTTAAGGCTTAAGATGCCGCTGTATATAAATATACATAAGGTAAGACAACTTTGTTTCTCGAGCAATCTTCCATTGCGAGCTCCCCCGCTGTAACTGAGCTTAACGGATGCATCAGATTGGAACGCACCAGCACAGAACAAATATAAAGATCCCCCATAGGGCCTTAGCAGACTGAGGCAAGCGCTGTTAGTGACGAGCAGCTAATGAAGTCCGGCAAGGCACAGTAGGGAGTGGGTGGCCAGCACCGCGCCCGGCCGCCTTTGTCTCCCCAGTGGCGATGTTTTTACACACCGCATCAAGTACTTATTTGCGGCCGAGTCAACCTAGGGGAGGCCCAGGCCCAGTTAAAATATTTGGCACTTGTCGGACGTGAACGAGAATCGAACTCGGTCTCTGCCAGGTTCGTAGCACAGTGCGACCAACCATTGTGCCACCGCTCCCACACTGGCACCATCACCTCCACCACTCAGTTTGGTTGGTATTTCTTACTTTTGTCGCAGATTTTGCATGCTTGGCAGCTCGTGAGGTTATTTGCGGAGTCTGTGAACGTTAATCCATCTATGCACGACAGGCAGACTGGGAACTGTCCATTCGTTGTGCATTCGTGTCTCTTGTGCGTCCCTGTTGATTTAAACAAACAAACATCATTGTTGTTTATAGAGTACAAGGGATGCCTCTACTTACGAGCGAGTTAGGTTCCAGATGTCTGTTCGTAAGTTGATTTGTTCCTCAATCCAAATTTACTCCTGTCGATTCCAAACGTGTTGTACGGCATGTACACTAAACACGGGCAATGGCTTTAAAAGTTGTATAATCTCCTGTAGACATAGATGCCACTGGTTCTTCACGTTCTGCAGAAGTAGATGCTGTGACTGCCATCTATTGTGCGGTGGTTGAACTTACGACTCTCAGTCCAAACAGGCAACTGGACATATGGACAGGTTTGTTTGTATCTCTGAAAGTTCGTAAGTCAAATGTTGGTAAGTAGAGGCGTCCCTGTATATCCGTTGCATAACAAAGGCCAATGGCAGTGTAACTCACAGTGGTAGCAAAGTGGACCGATAGCAGCTGTTTGTAGCCGAGTTCGATATCAATGGAATTGAGTTTACAAGTGTAAGGTAAAACAGTTGTTCAGTGAGGGTAATATTGTCATAGCAATACATTTCTTATCTGGTTTTGGCTTATTCCCTTGGGATATATTTTTTTAAACCGAATTTAAAGTTTTATTTGGTAAATTGGCGACTTCCCTAACACCACCATCCGAGGACTCGACGGTGCTGACTCAGCGTCCTTGACACGGCCCTTATGACACTCGGTGTGCTATTTGGTTGACTTGAATCTCAGTTGAATTCAAAGATTCTATTTTTACCAAAAATCCAAACTCAATTGGATGAATAATCCACGTCGCTTTGTCACGGTACCTGCAGGGCACAGATAGCAGCAGATGTTGGTGTCGGTTCTGTAACTTCCTATGGGGCAATCCACTTGATCGTCCTCTGTAGAAACTGGAGCAATCTGTACACGCGCACAACGTTAACTCACTTATACTGCCATACGTGCACCACGTTAACTCGCTTGTACTCAATGTTATGTGCAGCCATGCAGCCCTTAATGGCAGCGAGCACAAATGTGGGATTGCCTGGCTCGGAGACATGGTCACATGACCCTCAAGCGTCTCCACCACAAAACAAAGACAAAGAACCCCCGTGTAGCCTGAACAGACTGTTGGGGCAAGTGCTGTTAGCGCGCAGCACCTATGAAGGCCGGGACTGGGACACGAGGGGGTGAGTGGCCAGCACCACATCCGGCTGCCTTTGTCGCACAATGTACTCATTTGAGGCTGAGTCGATCTACGTGAGGCCCAGGACCGGTTCAGATCGTCAACGGTGTTGGTCGCTGTGAGCGGGAATTGAACTCTGTTGGGCCGGGGTTGTATAGCGCGGTGCGCTAACCACTGCACCACCGCTCCCCTATCATATCATCATTAATACATCTTAAAAATAACATAGGTGTTTACCATTTCTTGCAGGAATAAAACGAGAATCGTGCTAAGATGTTCAAATACCAAATAGAATATAACCTTTGTTAAGGAATCAAGTACTGCATGAACCACGCACAGCGCTTGTGGTGAACATGTAAACAAGCTCTGATAATAATATATGGCATTGTCCTTATACTGTTCGCATTTTGGTGTTCTCTAGACTGACACTGGTACAGAGACTCCGCCATGAAGAAGGCTGCTGTCGCTCTGGCGTAGGCCAATTGGTTTCAAAGATGATGCAAGTTTATCATTACGATTAAAGGCAATAACACACATTACAACTAATTACTAATTTACAACTTATTACTAATCATAACCATTGACTGATTACCAATCGATTATATAATTACTGCAACTGAATGAGTTAAATGATGACGTCACCCTGCTGCTCTATTTAAGACCGGGAGCAAGTGAGGGCTTTACCATTCTGGCGAATTGCCCGATGATGCTGGATGTAATTACCAGCGAAACGTCGTATTCAAACTGAAAATTTTGTGGATTCACTCTTCAACACACCGGTGGGCTAAAGTAGTGAACTAATTGTCTTTTTGATTTAAAGCTTTCGTGACTGCAGTAATTCATATTCTTAGTTTTTTCGGTAAAGTCACGTTGAAGAGAAACAACAAAATAATAAAATATATATAAAACAATACAAAAATTATCACGACGTTTCGACCATAACTCAAACGGTCGTCTTCAGGTGTGTTGGTTCGCGTAAATTTATTTTAAACGGCGCATTTATTTATTTATAAAAAAAACGTTAGCGCCACGCGCAACGATTTGGCAGTTTACCCAGGACTAGTCCATCTATATTCTGAAAAGAGGAGGGGGGAGACGAAATTTTTTTATAATGTATGCTGTCTGAAAGCCACTGTAAGCGTGAACAATCAATTAAGACCTGAAATGGTTTATCAAATCTTTCCAATGATTGCTAAGATAGAATCCATCTTCTTGGTTGAAATTGTCTCTGTGCTTGTATATGTGGATAGCCTCATGAACGAATCTCTCATGGAAGCCAGATGGCTTACAAAGAACCTCTGTCTTGGAAAAGTCAATGGCATGTGAGCCTACTGAATTAGAACAATGATCTGCCACGGCCGAGGTGTTGGTCCTACCGTGTTTAAGGTCTGCTTTGTGTTCACGAATGCGGTCCGAGACATGGCGTTTGGTTTCTCCAATGTAACTACTACCACAGAGGCAACTTAGTTTGTAGACACCAGGGTATTGTATGTCCGGAATCACATCTTTTACAGACGGAACCAGATCACATATTTTATGTAATGTGTTGAAACGGACCTGGATCTTGTGTTTATTCAAGATTTTGGAGATCTTTTTTGTGATCCCAGCAATGTAGGGTAAAGTGATGGTTTTGAAAGGCTCCTCAAGAGGGTTTTTCTTCATGGTTTGAGTGATAGCTTTGCGGATTGTATAGTCGGAGTAACCATTAGCCCTAAGAGCTTGGTGTACGTGCTTGAGTTCACTGCTTATGTGTTCCTGGTCGGATATGCATTGGGCTCTATGATACAGAGTCTTGATGAGAGAATTCTTCTGTGATGGATGGTGGTGGGAATCCGGTTTCAGATAAGCATCCGTATGGGTAGCTTTCCTGTAGACAGAGTGGCTCATTGAACCATCAGGTCTCTTTTTAATTAGGACATCCAAAAAAGGTATCTTGCCATCTATTTCGACTTCCATGGTAAATCTGATGGCTGGGTGTATGGAATTGATGTGGTCGAAGAATTGGTCTAGAGCAGGCCGGCCATGTGGCCAGATGACAAAAGTGTCATCCACGTACCTCTTCCATAAGGTTGGGCGCAGAGTGGCATTCTGGATGGCGTCAGTCTCAAATTTCTCCATGAAAATGTTAGCTATAACTGGAGAAAGGGGGGAGCCCATTGGGGTGCCCTCAGTTTGTTTGTAGAAAGTTCCATTCCAAGTGAAGTATGTATTGGTTAAACAGTGTCTCACCAGGGGGGGTACCTCAGTGTTTAGTCCTTGATGAACTAAGTTCACCAAGCAAATCCGCAAAGCTATCACTCAAACCATGAAGAAAACCCCTCTTGAGGAGCCTTTCAAAACCATCACTTTACCCTACATTGCTGGGATCACAAAAAAGATCTCCAAAATCTTGAATAAACACAAGATCCAGGTCCGTTTCAACACATTACATAAAATCCGTGATCTGGTTCCATCTGTAAAAGATGTGATTCCGGACATACAATACCCTGGTGTCTACAAACTAAGTTGCCTCTGTGGTAGTAGTTACATTGGAGAAACCAAACGCCATGTCTCGGACCGCATTCGTGAACACAAAGCAGACCTTAAACACGGTAGGACCAACACCTCGGCCGTGGCAGATCATTGTTCTAATTCAGTAGGCTCACATGCCATTGACTTTTCCAAGACAGAGGTTCTTTGTAAGCCATCTGGCTTCCATGAGAGATTCGTTCATGAGGCTATCCACATATACAAGCACAGAGACAATTTCAACCGAGAAGATGGATTCTATCTTAGCAATCATTGGAAAGATATGATAAACCATTTCAGGTCTTAATTGATTGTTCACGCTTACAGTGGCTTTCAGACAGCATACATTATAAAAAATTTCGTCTCCCCCCTCCTCTTTTCAGAATATAGATGGACTAGTCCTGGGTAAACTGCCAAATCGTTGCGCGTGGCGCTAACGTTTTTTTATAAATAAATAAATGCGCCGTTTAAAATAAATTTACGCGAACCAACACACCTGAAGACGACCGTTTGAGTTATGGTCGAAACGTCGTGAGAATTTTTTATTGTTTTATATATATATTATTATTTTGTTGTTTCTCTTCAACGTGACTTTACCGAAAAAACTAAGAATATGAATTACTGCAGTCACGAAAGCTTTAAATCAAAATTTAATCGCCTCTACGGGGAGGGTTTTCACATAACTTTAAGATCCTTCAACAAACTCCAGGATAAGAAAGCTCAGCTGATCGAGTCTCTCACCTTCCTGAAGAGATGCCGCGACTCTGGGGTAATACCAATCGCATTTACACTGACCTCTGCTGCTGTAACTTCTTCTAATGCGAAACGAATTCTTTTCAAAACTAGCTTAGCTCTTATCTCAGAAAAAATCAGACGTATACGCACCGAACTAGATCAGTTAGACAAGACACTCTACAAATCACACTTATCATTGACGGCAACAATGTCCACATCGGATTGGGAACATGTAGACAATATGACTGCCTCTTCAGCTGCTACTATGTCGACCAAATGTAAGGAAAACCTGATTTCCAAATTTAATCTCCTCTTCAACAAAAGACCGGACCCACACACCAAAAAGTTAGATGTTAATAAAGTCGTAATTAATCGCAGTAACAGTTCTATTTCCGATGGTCTGAAATCCGTTTTAGCTAAAAGTCTAAACTTTGCAGTCACACCTAAACACATACCAGTTAATGATATAATTGCCCAAGTAGACTTGGCTCTCAAGGGCCTGGGTTACATCGTTGCAGACGTAGCAAGATCTGAAATTGCTGCAACCCTCAAAAACGCTAAGATGCCAGCTAGCAACCTCAGCAAAGATGAGCGTTTTGAATTATATAAATTAAAAAAGAGGAATGATATTGTAGTCCTCTCAGCTGACAAAGGCAATGCTACTGTCATCATGGATAAAATAGAATACAACAACAAAATTAAAGAATTACTCGACGATGGTAGTTAGCCACGCTGAGATCACAACCTTTAAGCTGTGTGAGAAGAAACAAAGCACCTTGACAAAGGAATTAGCATATAATTTAGCATTGAAATGGCTACCATGGCTAGCCGTTTTTAGCATTGAAATGGCTACCATGGCTAGCCATTTCAATGCTAAATTATATGCTAATTCCTTTGTCAAGGCGCTTTGTTTCTTCTCACACAGCTTAAAGGTCGTGATCTCAGCGTGGCTTTCTCACACCAGCGCTGTCCTCCAGACAGTCTCGTCCCCTTCACCTGATGAAGGCCGCTTGTGTTGTGGCCGAAACGTCGTGAGAATATTATTGTGTTATTTTATTTTATCAATTTATTATTTTATTCTCATTCTACGTGACTTTACCGAAAGAACCAAAGAAGAAGAATCCTTGCAGTCACGAAAGCTTTAAATCAAAGGTTACGACACATTTATAAATAACGCGATCTAACCCAAAAACCTTTATTATGAATAATATTGGTCGCGAAAGCCTACGTGTGTAGAGGTGTTAGCTACGCGCTGTTGCGTAACCTGCGTTGCCACCAGGGCGGTGCAGCATTACCCCTGGGTACAACGGTTGGGGTCAGTCGCGGTGAAACGGATCGTGGCCAGGGTTTGGTGCGAACCAATCAGACGGTTCCACGTGGGAATGTATGATTGGTTCTACCTGGCCACGAAGGGGTATAAGACGGGTGACCCAACGGACCTCGGGGAGTTCTCTCCCTGCACGAAGACAGAAGACTGGGCTGAAGCCTAGCT